TGGTCTAGTGGTTAGGATTCTGGGCTTTTGCTGCCGTGGCCCTGGTCAGTCCCTGGTCGGGGAACTGAGATCCCGCAAGCTGCACGGTGGGGTCAAAAAAAAAAACGTACCTTATGCAATTTCAATATATTGTATTAAATCATTCCATTCAATGTTGGATTCCTGTTCTTAGGTACATGCATTCGTAATATATAAAGTTTGAAATTGGTGTGTTCTCTGAAACACATTGAATCTGAACTCTCGCAGAACTCATTCTCTTCCCAGTTGAGGGTAAAGGATGAAAAGTTAGACTATAGAGTACCCTTTGAAGTAACATTATTCCTTCAGCACTAAAAAGAAATCTTACCTGTCAATGAGTTGATATTTTGAACTCGGTGTATTGGAGATTTTATGGTATTATCAAGGAAGAATTATATGCTTAGAGATTAGTTGATTCAGGGTCTTAATTGCACTGTATCTTGTTGTATATATATTCATATTCACATTTGCCTTGCCTTGTGGGAAAGATTTTCATCAAACCTTTGTTCAAAGTCACATTCAGAGAAAGTTAAGAGATCAAGATGATTATGTATATAGATGTAGGCATTAACTAATTCATTATCTTCTGTTGTCATGCCCCAGTATTTACATATAGAAATACATGTTACTTCTTTCAAAACTATAAATTTTTCCCAAGGGAGAATAATTATAACTTCTGCTGAATGAATATTTACCAAGTACTAGTTATTTTATGCTCTTTCTATCCTTTCAGCAGATTTTCAAGACAACTCTATAGGTTATTTTCTACTATTTCTGATCTTTTCAACAAATTGTGTAAGGCACGTGATGAGATTTGTTTGCCAAATGTAGAATCCAAAAGACAGGTAAAGAAAACTGTGTAGTTAGGAGTGAGACACAGATACTTAATTTGAAATCCTTGAGGAGGAGAAGGTGATCTATATATTATAGCTATCATATAACGTACAATCTGAAAGTTTCTCTAGGATGAGGTTATGTCCTTTGAGGGTTTAGGGGATGGAGAAATTACTTTCAGGTGGAAGACTGAAGATTAGTAGAATGTGAACTTAAAGACATGGGAATTGGGAAAGGTACTCTAGGCCGAGGGAAGAGCATGGAGCAAATTCCAGGAGATTGAATGTGTGGGGAAAAGAAAAGTAGTTTGGTTTGGCGGGAGGGAAAGAGGAATGGTAGGAAATGAACCCTGGAACCCTAAGTTAGTCAAACAAAATAATTTGTTCTTTATTCTATAGAGAATGAATTTTTGAAGACCTTTTTACAGGAAAGTGTGCCTCAGGAAGATTTCATATTGTGTATAAAATGGATAAGAGTGGAGAGAGATTGTTGGTAGGCAGAGCCATTTTAAGGCATTGCAGCAAATAATACTGGCAAGAAATAACAAGGGATAGAATTATTGTAGCAAGAATAGAAGTGATAGGAAGGAGGAGAGTAAAAAAATAAATAAATAGCAGTTATATAATCATGCTTACTATGGGTCAGGCACTGTTCTAAGAGCTTCACATATGTTATTTAATTCTCACAACAATAGTATGATATGGGCCCTGTTACTATTCCAATTTAACAGATGAGGAAATTAGAACTTTTCAGGATTGATTGAGGGATAGTAACTTGTTGCTATCAATTGTTAAATTATGGGACATCTATGGAATGGAATACTATGAAACCATGAAAATTGATGCCATAGAAGTATGTCTGTTGCTTTGAAAATATGTTCACTATGTGTTAAACCAGGTTTACAGTAAATATAATATTTCTGTTTTGTTCTACTTTGAATGAATATGCTAATTGTCAATTTTATAACTCTTATGACATTTAAAAAAAGTGTATGTTTCTCTCTTCTTTACCCCCACCCCAAACTCCCTCTCCCCAAGGGTAGCTATTATTAATAGCTTGGTGAGTATCCTTCCAGTTAACAAGTAGATATATGCAAAGTAAATTTTATTTTATCAAAATAATATATGCAACAGTTTTAAAAGTCATAGTGCAAAAAGCCTTATAACAAGGACAGCATCACTGATATGTTCTCCTCCATCCTGCTCTTTTTCTCTTCTTCACAAGTCTTTTCTGAAATACCTATTTGAGTCCACTGTATCTCTGCAATCTTTATGTGAAATTATAGTGATATAAACAATAACATCCATGGAAGAAAAACACCATCAATAACATCTATGGGAGAAAAACATCATACCGCAATACAGCTTCTGTTCCTTTGTTTTATGAAGTGCCAAAACAAAATTAACTTTATGGTTGCAAAACTTTTTCCATTGCTTCAGCCCACGTCATTCTGTACAATGTTTGTTTGGTTCATAGAGTATTTATTGAAAAGCATTAAGAACGCTTATTCAGCTTGTGAACAAGAAAGGGAAAAATAAAGGGCTAATTATTAACTAATTCAGGCTTACTTGTTCATTTTATAAATGAATCAGATCCTTTTTTTTTCTTTTCCCATCTTGTTGTCTATCATTGACCTGCTTGTACTACATAAAAACTTTTCTACCAAAAAAGTAGAATATGGTGAACTCTTGCTACTTACTACCAGCTCTGGTAGAGAAGATACTGAAACTAATACTACAAAAGAGATTTGAGAATTATCTCTGCCTTGGATTATCCTCCCAGGACATTTTAGTTTTGTACTGTTTAAATTTAAGAAAACTTAAAAATTGCTAGTTCATTCAACTTCTTAATTTTTGATCTGAATACTACAGACTCTAAAATTTCTTTTGCCAAGCAAATACAGAAAACTAGATGCTTCCCAATAAACATTTATCACCAAACATGATAAGTTATTTATAGTTACAGATAATTCTACAAAACTTAGATACTTTTATATTGCTCTAACAACAAACAACAACAATATTCTCCCTAAAGTATTTACACATTGGCAGTGGTGGGTTGGGATGGGGATTGGGTATTGGGGGGTAACTCCAAACCAAGACAGAAAGGGGATGTGGTGAAATATAAATGTGAGTATATATTTGTTTACGGACAACTGTGAGACTTCCTAAGGTGAAATGGTGGGATGTCTTTAACATCCTCGTGAGTATAGCACTGTGACTTCCCAGGCCCGTAGAGATGATGATTCCTAAAGGGAAAGGAATATCAAACTTGACTAGGTATACTGATGTCACTAATAACTACAGTTGTAGAAAATTAACAAGACTTTCTTGGTGAAATTATGGGATCAGAATGGGCAAAGACAACAAAATGATCTATTCTGAATAATCTTCTAGAAAAATGCTGTCCAGTAGAACTTTCTGCAATGATGGAAGTGTTCTTCACCTGTGCTGTCCAACATGGTAGCTACTAGGCACACATGTAGCTCTTGAGAGGCCTTGAAATGTGGCAAGTGTGACTGAGGAACTGAATTTTTAATTTTAATTAATTTAAATGGCTACATGTGCCTAGTGGCTACCATATTGAACAATGCAGTTCTGAAATATGCCTTTCCATTCATTTTAACCACTCCTTCTCACAAGTAAGACACAATCATTATTCTGAAAGAGCACATGGCCTGTAGAAAAGGCAGATAGATATTTAAGATGAAAAACAAAGAAGAAACAGAGTAGAGAGGAAATAAGATATATCCAGCTGAGAGGAACAGAATCTAGATGAAATATTAGAGAAAATTAACATGAGGCAAACAATGAGGTTGAACCTTCCAGGGGTGATATCTCTTTTGGATTTGCTCTTGTGGGCTACTCCATTTCTTCCCAATGGAAGATGCAAAGTAAGCAGTCTTCTGCCTCTGCCCCAGAATTTCCCCAGATATCTATTATGCATAAGACTTACTGATAATTATTTCATTGAAAAAAGATCTATAGCTCCACCTGCATCATGAAACCTTTTTTGAAAAAATTAGTCTGGCATTCTCTACACTCAGAGAGTTAATGCCACATAATTTAACATCTATTTATTATCAAATTCTTTTTCTTTAATTATATTAGAAATTTGAAAATGGGCATTATACTTTCTCTCTCGTACATAGATAATTACGATTGCTCAGAGTGATTAAATAGGATGTTACCTTTTTTTCCAGTAGAAAATGTTCTAGATTTTACAAGGTGGCTTTCCTATATGAACTTGAATTTATTTCACCAAGTTTCAACAATGAGATCAGTTCATTTAATTACTTTATTTCGTTTTTTAAATATTTATTTATTTTTGGCTGTGGTGGGTCATAGTTGTGGCACACGGGCTTCTCTCTAGTTGTGGCGCTCTGGCTCCAGAGCACGTGGGCTCTGCAGTTGCAGTGCATGAGCTCCAGGGTGCTTGGGCTCTGTAGTTGTGGCACGCAGGCTTTCTAGTTGTGGCACACAGGCTCAGTAGTTGAAGTGTGCAGGCTTAGTTGCCGCGCAGCATGTGGGATCTTAGTTCCCCGACCAGGGATCGAGCCTGCATCCCCTGTGTTGGAAGGCGGATTCTTAACTACTGGACCACCAGGGAAGTCCCTACTTTCTTTATATGATTTTTTTTTTTTTTTTTTTTTTGGTGGTACGTGGGCTTCTCACTGCTGTGGCCTCTCCCGTTGCGGAGCACAGGCTCCGGATGCGCAGGCTCAGCGGCCATGGCTCACGGGTCCAGCTGCTCCGCGGCATGTGGGATCTTCCCAGACCGGGGCACGAACCCGTGTCCCCTGCATCGGCAGGCGGACTCTCAACCACTGCTCTACCAGGGAAGTCCCTTTATATGATTTTTATGTTTACAAATTAAACTTTGCTAACAGTCACCCGTATTTAATGAAAGTTAGCAATTTAATTTAGGAACTTTATTAAAAAATACTGAGAAATTTGTGCTGTAATTTAAAAAAATTATATGATTTCTGGAAACAGTAATTTCTATATAAGCTGGAAATAATAAGATGATAAGAGGTAAAAAAGGTGATGGGGTGGCATTTCAAATTTTAGAATAACATGATTTTACATTACTTTATATCTTCTAAATATATATTTTGAAGAATTTAAATAATATTTTCCTCTCTCTAGATTTTTGCTTCAGTGTCTTGAAGACCTTGATGTCAATCTGCGAAAATTAAACTCTCGTCTGTTTGTGATTCGTGGACAACCAGCAGATGTGTTTCCCAGGCTTTTCAAGGTTATTGGAAAAATCTTTGCATAAAAAAATAATCTTTTGTCAGAGAAGACACGTATTTGGGGTAAAGTATGGGAAATATAAGTGCTTATAAATGAAATATTGTGGATATTTTCTGTATTTAATAAAAATGTTACACAGTGTAAAATCAGACAGTGAAAAAAATGATTTACAATGAAAAGTTTCTTTCTTCTACCTTAAACTGACAGTTCCCCTCTCAGAAGCAACAACTACTACCAGTTTGTGTATTCATTAGAAGTATTCTTTGCACAAATAAGAATGCATATGTGTATGTGTTTATATACACATATTTGTGTTTGTGTGAATGTTAACCATCCCCCCTTTTTAAAACCAAGGTGAGAACACGCTATGTTATACCATTCTATGCCATGCTTTATTCACATAACCATATATTTATATTTTGGAGATTGTTCCATGTTACCTTCTCAGTCTTCTTTTTTTTTTTTTTAATTTATTTATTTATGTTTGGCTGTGTTGGGTCTTCGTTTCTGTGCGAGGGCTTTCTCCAGTTGCGGCGAGCGGGGGCCACTCTTCATCGAGGTGCACGGGCCTCTCACTGCCGCGGCCTCTCGTTGCGGAGCACAGGCTCCAGACGCACACGCTCAGTAGATGTGGCTCACGGGCCTAGTTGCTCCGCGGCATGTGGGATCTTCCCAGACCAGGGCTCAAACCCGTGTCCCCCGCATTGGCAGGCAGACTCTCAACCACTTCCCACCAGGGAAGCCCCACTTTCTCAGTCTTTTAAATGGCTTCATAGTACTGCATTGTATAGATATGCTGTTAATTTTTTTTTAAATTAAAGTATAGTTAACTTACAATATCATTAGTTTCAGGTGTACAACATAGTAATGCAATATTTTTATAGATTACACACCATGCAAAGTTATTATAAAATATTGACTATATTCCCTGAGCTGTATATTATATCCCTGTGACTTATTTATTTTATAACTGGTAGCTTATACGTCTTAATCCCCTTCACCGGTTTCACCCCTACCCCTACCCCACTCCCCTCTGGTATCCACTAATTTGTTCCTTTTTGGTTTTTTAAAATTTATTTATTTATTTGGCTGCTTTGGGTTTTTGTTGCTACGCCCGGGCTTTCTCTAGTTGCAGTGAGTGGGGGCTACTCTTCGTTGCAGTGTACAGGCTGCTCATTGTGGTGGCTTCTCTTGTTGCAGAGCACGGGCTCTAGAGTGCATGCTCAGTAGTTGTGGCACACGGGCTTAGTTGCTCCACAGCATGTGGGATCTTCCCGTACCAGGGATCGAACCAGTGTCCCCTGCACTGGCAGGTGGATTCTTAACCACTGTGCCACCAGGGAAGTCCCCACTAATTTGTTCTTTGTATCTGGTGAGCCTATGTCTGTTTTGTTATATTTGTTTGCTTGTTTTTTAGATTCCACATATAAGTGAAAACATACAGTATTTGTCTTTCTCTGTCTGACTTATTTTCACTTATCATAATGCCCTCCAGGTCCATCCACATTGTCACAAATGGCAAGATTTCATTCTTTTTTATGGCTGAGTAATCTTTCAGTTTGTGTGTGTGTGTGTGTGTGTGTGTGTGTGTGTGTGTGTGTGTACATCTTTATCCAGTCATCTGTTGGAGGGCACTTAGGTTGCTTCCATATATTGGATATTGTAAATAATGCTGATATGAACATTGGGGTACATATATCTTTTTGATATAGTGTTTTTGTTTTCTTCAGATAAATACCTAGGAGTGGAATTGCTGGATCATATTACCATATTATCTGTGTTCTATTTTTAATTTTTTGAGGGTATAATTTATTTCACTAGCTTTCTATTGAACATTTAGTTATTTTTCCACAGGCCTTTTGCTAATACAAGTAATGCTGTCAGTGAACATCCTTGTTCACAAAAGAGAAATCTTTGCTCACATGTGCCAGTACATTTGTGGGACAATTCTTGTAAGACTTTCTGAGTCAAAGGGCTGTAACAATTGACATGCTACAAAACTGTAATGTTTTTAACTTGGTAGAATCTTAAAAATCTCCTAATCTTATTTCCCCCTCTTTTTTCCAAATGAAAAAATTAGTCCTAGAGAGATTAAATGAGCTAACCTAGGTCATAAAACTAGCTCATGGAAGCGTTCAGACCAGAAACTGAGTTTTCTGGCTTTGTTAATCTATCCCTTCCTATTTACTACCATTAGTATTCCTAATGTATATCTGTTTTTCTCTTGCAGCTGTTTGATTCATCAAATTTTTATAATAGCATTTTTTCTACTTCTAATGCACAAGAAAACAGTTCCTTTTCCTGAATGAAATATCCACAGTGCTGGGAATCAAACCAACACTACCTAGCCCTTTTTTCAGCAGTGTGAAAGAACCTTTTAATGTTTAGAGTTTGGCTAATACAACAGTTGTAGCTAGTGAAAATTTATTTTATAAAAGTTTTCGGGCTTCCCTGGTGGCACAGTGGTTGAGAGTCTGCCTGCCGATGCAGGGGACACGGGTTCGTGCCCCGGTCCAGGAAGATCCCACATGCTGCAGAATGGCTGGGCCCGTGAGCCATGGCCTCTGAGGCTGCACGTCTGGAGCCTGTGCTCTGCAATGGGAGAGGCCACAACAGTGAGAGGCCCGCGTACCGCAAAAAAAAAAAAAAAGTTTTCTTACTACTGTAGCTACTTAGAGTCAGAATTTAACCTAGGTACATGGAAGAGCTCTGAGAAGAAAGGATATCAAAAACAATGGTGATAGTTTATCAGCATCTCACAAGTATAAAAGTATATGTGAATAACTGCTCAACCCTATCTAAATCCATGTGTTATAAGTAAAATGAATCTTAAGAGGATTTTAAGTACCTTTAAAATAACAAAACATTTACCTGCTTTTAAAAAAATGGTTTAACTCCGCAAGTCTTTTGTGTTCTTTATTTTGAGCTTTCTTCTGCCTGAAGTAACATATTATTGGATCAAACTATCTTCTGTATATAGATGATGTCCTGTCTTGTTACTTTGGCAGAGAGGCAATGGTTTATGCAAGGGCCATAAAATACAGATACGTGAATATACTTTAATATACCTAGAGTGCTTATTATTGTATTCTGATACAGTAGTCTATATAAAATGTCATTTATGAAAACTTTCAGATTTATTTAATATGTCTGAACCATAGAGGGAGTTAATTCCTCTTTTTATTGTATTGATATTTTTATTTTTACTTTTTGTTTAGAGGTACTATATGCATGTGTTTCCAAAAAAGAGCCCAAGAGTATGTACGATAAAAAGCAGGTCTCCTTCTCATCCCTAACCCTTACACCCCCAGCTTCTCTGAGGAGGAAGATTCTTTTGTCAGTAACTAGCTGACTCATTTACATTACTGTCTCTGGTTTTATTATTCTAGTACAGCAGATAGTGAGAACTTTAATAGGTAAATAATCCAGCTTCCCACATTGGAGGTAAAACTGGTTTAGACCCGATAACAGTACCTTTAGTTTACTGGGGTGGAAATAGTGATTTCAGTACTGACGTCTCCTCTAGTGTGCACCTTCTTTCTATAGCATTCGCTCATTTAATTCTGTTTATACTAAGTAGATTTAGGAATGGGGCCAGAGCATTTTTATAAACACATTTTTACACACATCTATGTTGGATAAACTTGTTTTTTCTTACGTGTTTTCTACTTAGAATTTTTCTCAGTTAAATTCTAGCTTAATATAAGCTGACAACATGGCTTTTTTTTTTTCTTTTCATGTTCTACTGAATAAATGATAAACTTAGCAGACACTAGCCTAGGCAAAACTTGAATGACAGTATTAATCATAGGTATCTTATATAAATTATTATTATTATGCAGTTAAATCTTATATCTTCTACATTTGGTGCCAGAGTGATAAGCTACCAAGACCACGCATATTCTAGGGCCTGCAGAAACTTTTTATGAAGAGTTTAAAGTATTGGTTTAAAACATTCCCATTATATCCAAGAGACAGAGACATGTGTCTAAAGTCTTTATAGATGGACACACTGAAGCATAATAAAATGTTTTGTTCAAAATCACAGAATAAATCAAAGAAGGACATATAAAGCCACTAACGTTTCACATGCATAAATTTATATTATGCTTTTTGAGTCATTTTGGATTCTTGCTTTATTATTTCATGGTACATGCTCATTTGAATAAGATAATTCATTCAACAGATATTGATTGAGTGCCTGCTATGTACATGGCAGTGTTCAAGGTGCTGGGGGTATACTGGTGAACCAAACAGAAAAAGTTCCTACCTTCACTGAGCTTACACTATATTGGGAAGCAGGCCAATAATAAGTAAATATGTAATGTCAGGTGGTGATAGGTACTAAAATAAAATGTGGGATAGAAAGTCCCAAGGTGAGGGAAGGATAGTTACTTTATATGGAATCATGGAAGGCCTCACTGATAAGGTAGCCTTTGAGCAAATATATGAAGAGATTGAGCCATGCAGATATCTGGGGTGTGATATATTGAATCCACAAAATTTTGCAGCTTGTTCATCAAAAGGTAGAGTTTATTTTCTCACTCCCTTAAATCTGGGTTGGCCTTATATCTTGTTTTCACTAAGTGCCAAAGGAGATACCGAGTGCCAAAGGAGATACCAAGTTTCAAATCCTAGGCCTCAAGCGACCTTGCAGCTTCTACCTTTGCCCACTTGGAATGCTCCTTGTACCATGTAAGGACTGGGCTAGAATGTCAAATTATGGGAGACCACGTTTAGAGAGAGTGGGCCAACCAACAGCCAGCACCAAGGTCTGAAATGTGTGAGAGAGGTCATTTAGATGCTCTGGCAGCAGCCAAGCTGCCAGCCGACTGCAAGCTTGTGAGTGAGCCCAGGTGAGACCAACAGAAGAACCATCTAGTTAACTGACAGACTTGGAGAATTAATCAGTTGTTTTAAGCTGCTAAGCTACTGCAGTTTGGGGAAAGAGTGTCACAGGCAGAGGGAACAGCAGTTACAAAGGCCCTGATGTGGAAGTGT